ATATATATATAATAATATATATATATATATATATATATATATATATATGTATAAATCATTAACTTTTGCTAAATTTGAATTTATTAATCATTCTTATCATCATTATTTTTAATATAAATATATATTAATCTTACTATATGAATATAATTAATTTGTACATACAATTATTTTTCAATAATACATTTATTTGTCACACAATTCTATTTTTTTATACTAAAAATTATTAATAAAATAAAAAATCTTTTTTTAATAAAATATAAAAAAATTACTTTCTTTCATAAGTAATAATATTCATAAATTATATCAATTTAAATTTGTAATTCAATTTATTATAGAAGTAATACAATTTCCTGTTCCAGTGCATGCATATACAATTTTGGAAAGCATACATTTTTTCTTTTGAAAAATAATTCTGTGTATATAAATAATCTGTTTTTAATTTATCATACTTACGTTAATTCCAAATTCCAAAATAAAATTGATTCAATGTTTGTAACATAAAATTCTTTCAATTTTTTTCTAGTATGATATTTATTAAAACTGCTAAAAAAATCGCACATTTCTACCATTACTGCTAATCAATTACTTGGATGAAATATATGCCTTGAAAAATGCATTCATGTTACAAAGATACTTTAAACAATTATAAAATTTTTTTCTCTGCTTTTCTTTTAACATATAAGTCATATAATTTCATACATACAAAGAATGTGAAATATATTTTGCATGTCAGGAAATTAATTTTTTACCATTTACACATTTCATGTAAAATAATAGTAAGTAATAATATATAAATTTTTACTTTATGTATTCTCTATATAATTGTCAGATCTTGTAAATGGTTAACAAAGTTAAAGTAAAATTAATAGTTCATAATTATTTTTAACACAATTCAGCATCAGAATATTTTAGTATGTATAGAGCAAAGATTATAGAAAATATAAAAATTTGTAAACTTTCAAGAATTCTTTGCTTAATCTTTTTTTCCTTATTCTTAATTCAATATAATCCACTATTTTATGTTGTATTATTATGAACTTTTTGTTTAGATGCAATTAGTATACATTAATTATACATCAATTACAAAAAGTACTTTTATCTACTTTTTTGGTATCTGCTCATCAACAAAGTTCAAATAACTAGAACCAACTTTAATGAATGCAAGTCCAGAACCAATGCCAATTATTGTACAAAGAGTTGGATTAGGTGGTACTATAGAACGAAGTACCGCCCATACTAAAACTGATCCAAAGCTCAGCAATACAGCACCAGCAGTACTATAAAAATTATAAAACAATTTATTAATATTATTTAAGAAAAATTTGAATATATTATAATAAAAATATTTTACCTGTATAAGATTTTTACACATGTGGGGGCACTTTTCATATGGTCACGAGTATATATATAGGAGCCAGTGCCAAGAAGAGCACTTCCCAGTAAGAAATTTGTAATATCTTTCTTTGGAAAGATCCTATAAATATATGAAAAAAAGATAATTAAAAAGCAAAATAAAATAATAAAAAATTATATTATTTGATTAAAATAATTAAAATGCAAATATTTTCATATACAGAAAATTATGATTAATTAATTTGTTAATCGAATAACATTGTAAGTAGGTCATGATATTTATATTTAACATAGTCATTTTTATTTGAGAGACAAAATTGAATATTTCAGTTAAAATTTTTGAATAAATTCAAAAAATTCATTAAGGAATATTTATCTCTAAAGATTACGTAACATTGTAAGAATGATAAAAATCTAAAACCTAAAGATATAATAGAGGTTAATGTTAAAGAGTTGAATGAATTCATTATTATCTTACCTAATGACAAGACTAGGATTCATCACGTTGATAGACAATGCAGTGTATGAAGCAACACCAAAAGCAGGAGTGTAAAATTTTACAAGACTACATTTTGTAATTGGCTTCAAACCAAGTTTTTGCAAAATTGTACCGGCACTCGTACTTCCTGCAGCAGCCATTGTTTGCTCGTCTTCACCAAATCGTTGTCAATGAGCTACTGACCAAATAATTGTAACTGTAACGTAATTTTATAAGTGTTTACACGAATTCAACCAAATGAACGACACTAAACAGATCAAATTTTATAGAACAAGGATAAAAAAAATGGATTCCAATAGTGTGTTCGTAAATACATTAATGTATATCTATCGCGTTATGTTCTAAAATTAAGTTATAAATAAAATTGATTTAATTATAAATTTTTTTATTTCCAAATATAAAATTTTTTTTACATATTTTTTATACAATATATATTTTTTTATAATATTATTTTTATCTTTTGTTATCCAAGTATGTATAATCTATTATTTAAAATCGCATTAGATTAAATATCTTATTAATAACTTAAAACTTTAATTATTTCACTAATTTAAGATAACGAACATAAATAAAACATAAGTTTATTTATATAAGTATAATTTTTTACTAAGGATAAGAAAATAAAACGATATTGTTGAATTGTTTGATCTATTTTTACTCCATTAATTTTATCCTTATTTACAAGTACATATAAAGTCACTCATAATAATATATAAATATTATGAATATTATTATGTACTGATTAAATAAAACAGAATTTTTTTATTATATTATATATCTATAAATAAAATAAATATATAATTTGTACATATACAACAAAAGTGGTAAAAGAAAATATATTCTGGTTTATTATTTTTTTTGCCCAACTTTAAAAGATAAAGTTTTCTCTAAAAGTTTTTCTCTAAAAATTTTTTGTATTAATTAATGGCAGGCAGTGTAATAATAAACAAGATTTAATAATAATATTCATTTTTTAAAGATTAACTTAGGAATTAACAGCTGGACCTAGCCTTGTATGTGGTAAAGGATTAAATGGAGTAATATTACGAATTTCTTTTTCTACACAATTTGCATAAATATCGGCAGTCAACTCATTTAATGGAATTTCAGTATCTGTTTTTGCAGCTTTTACAGCATCATCTACCTGTTTCCTTATTTCATTCTCAATTGTCTAAAAAAAAAGAAAAATTTTAGATGATTTACATGATATAAGATTCAATATATTAAAAAAAATATTAAAAAAAAAACAAACCTTTATTTCTTCTGGAGTAACAAGATTAGCATTCAATATTCTTTCCTTAAAACCAGTAATAGGATCTCTAGTTTGTCTTACTTCTTGAATTTCTTCCCTAGTACGATAACTTGTTCCAGGATCAGACATACTATGGCCACTATATCTATATGTTACAGTTTCTAACACAATAGGACCTTTTCCAGATGTACAATAGTCAATAGCAAATTTAGTAGCTTGTTTAACTGCTAGTACATCCATACCATCCACCTAATAAAATATTTAATTAACATAATTTGCAAAATAATAATATTACAAAATAATTTTTCAAAAACATACCCATATTCCAGGAATATAATCTCCTCTTGTATAATAATCAGTACTTGCAGAAGCACGATCAACACTAGTACCCATGCCATATCCATTGTTTTCACAAACAAAAATACAAGGGACATCCCATAATTTAGCCATGTTGTATACTTCAAATACTTGACCTTGATTAGCAGCACCATCTCCATATAATGTAACACATACTCCTCCAGTATTATTATATTTATGAGCGAAGGCAATTCCTACTCCCAATGGCACCTATAAATTTTTGTAAATAGTACTCTTTTATAGTTCATTTAATAATTTTAATAATTATTACTCACTTGGGCACCAACAATACCATTTCCACCATAAAAATTGTCAGAATACATATGCATAGAACCACCTTTACCCTTTGCATTTCCTCCTTTTTTACCAGTTAATTCAGCCAAGACACCAAATGGATCTATTCCCATTAAATAGGTCCATCCATGAGCTCTATAAGCTGTGATTACACAATCTTGTGGTCGAAGAGCTGCTTTTATACCAACAGCACAAGCTTCCTAAAAAAATGAAAAGATTTTACTAATAATAAAAAATAGTTATTCTAATTGAAATAAAAAAAATATAATATAATTCTTACTTGACCAGAATATAAATGACAAAAGCCTCTGACAATTTTTTCTTTATACAAGTTTCCAGCAGCTGTTTCCATACGACGGATTGTATGTAATTTTTTATAAAGTTCTATTGCTTCATTTTTAGTAACAGTAACTTGAGTCGAAGGTCCATTATCCAATTTATGTAATCGAAAAGGTTTTGTTTCAAATGAAGCTTCTGTAGCATAATTGTTTTTCTTATTGAAGAAGTATGATACTACCTACAAATATAAATTACAAATATATTCCTTATATTTCATTTTGTAAGATATATACAAATTATTGAAGATGATTTATAAAAATATACAAAGTAATAAAAAAATGAAAAAATTACTTATAAATAATATAAATTTAAGAATCATGTTCGTAAAATCGTATAAAATTTGAAAAATACACAAGTTTATTTTATGATTCTAAACTTACCATATTGAAAATTTTTGCAAAAAAATAAAAAAAGAAAAAAATTGGATACAATGTAAAAAAAATTTATTAGTATAATAAACACACGAATAAATATCTCATATTTAGCGATATTTATACGACTAATACGAATAATTACCTCATTCCAGCTGCCGAACTGGTAAGACACCAGGAGGAAATATAAAAAAAAAGAACGAATGTTCAATTGTAAGACTCGATAGACTGTACGATTAGAAATTGTAGCAAGAGTCTAGTATAAAACGTGTTGGCAAGTATCTAATTTAGAGGTCATTTATCGTTCGGTCATATACTCACATTTCGTTTCGACGTTTGGACACTTATATGTCTGATATAGTTAGGTATCATTTTTAAATGATTTTTACTTGTAAACAAGAAAAATTATTTAATGTAAAATAGAAATTAATATACAAAATAAATTTAATTTAGAAGAGAGAATAATCATTCGTATGGCGCGGATCGTAAGACCTGATTTGTAAACGTCACAGATTGATTCGTATCCCCTCCATAATCATCATTAAAAGTGTTGAATAATATGACGTAATAAGTGATCGAAAACGAGGATATATATATATATATATACATAAATATAAATATATATAGAATATGTAAAAGTAAAATATATGTATTAATAATTAAATATATAATTAAAAATACAAAATATATTGATTAATATTATAAATGTTTAATATATTGTTGATTTTATATATATATATAGATGTTAAACTATAACAATAAGTTAATATTAAATTAATTTAATAAATTAAACTACAATAATGAAGTTAATAATAACTACAATAATAAGAATAATAAAAATAAAAATGTTTTAATAATAAGATATTATTTTTATTAGATATAATTAACGAAATTTATGAAAATGTAGAAAGAGTTAAGAAATGATTTGATGTTAAAAGCTATTTAATTCATATAATTATAAATTATATCAATTTTATGCAATGTTTTCTATTTACTTCTGTTGATATAATAATTTTAATATAATTTTATATATAATATTTATTTTTTTATTTTACAAGAATTGAATAAAAAATTTATTTACAGAATTGAATAAAAAAAAATATAAAAAAAAAAATTAAAAATAAGAAAGTAATGCATTTAAATAAATGTATTTTTTATAAGTTTATTATAAAAAAAAATAAGTATATTATATAAAAAATTATTTCGAAAATATATTTTATAAAATTGATATTCTTGCAAAATCTTGCTTATATACTTGGAAATTTTATATATAATATTAATTAATATTACATAATATTAATTGATAAAATACTTAAAATAAATATAAAATAAATATAATACTTAAAAAAATATAAAAAGCTATTTTATTTATATATTTATTTATATATAAAATTATTTCTAAAATATTTATAAGAAAATAAATAAATTTTTTTTAATAAAGAAAATCTTATTTTATGCAGAATTTTGTAATATGGTAATATTCATAATACAAGAAGGTGTAAATTGTACGTAATGTATGGTATTTTTCATATTGATATATGTAGAAGAAATGGTTATTATAATACCAAAAAGTACAATCAAATAACTGAAGCAATTATGCCATTTTTTATAATTATAATATGTGGTTGATTTTGAAATTGGCTCTTCAGGAATTATAATTTGTTTATAAACATTATAAGGCTGACTGGCATCTATAAATATTGGTTTGTTATCATAAATTCTTTTTGTCATAAAAAATTTTTCAGAATCTATGATATCATTTTCATAATCCACAATTTCATCCAATTCATTTTCTAATTCATTATAATAAACATATGAATATCGATGATATTCAGTTCTAGGTACACTTAGAACTCCATAATAAATTGATTTCGAATGGATTTTTGGATTGATTGACATATCTTTATTGCTTTGGCATCTTTCAGAACCCGAATATACCTCAGGAGTTAAAGATCGAATGGATTTTGTTTTTAAAGCAATTATTTTTGAGTATAATAAAGGTGGAAATACAAATACTAATAAACCAGTTAACGATCCTCCAATCAATACCATTACAATATCAAATCTTGGTATAGATTCTCCTACTGCTACTCCAAGAAAAACAATAGCTGATCTTATAAGACATCGTTTCCATCCAAAATCTATAATAAAATATAAATTTCATAAATTAACTTTTTTATCTACTATTCTCTTTTTGGCTATTTTTATTTATTTTTACTTTTTAAAATATCATACTTCTTTTAATATTACACTGATCTTCTAAATCTTGAAAAAGAGTTGAATGACTAAGAACACTAGAAAGACATAGTTGAAGAGCCGCAATAAGAACGACAATACTCATTATGAAATTTCCTGGAATTAATTGTAGGATATTGGCTGTTATATTACTTCCATATTCCAGACAGCCAAAATAGTAGTAACAAGAAACAATGAACCAGTAACTATAATAATGGTATTATTAATTACTGTGATTAAAATATGAAGAAATTTGTCAATTTATTTACCTAAGAAAGAAATTACAACTGCTTTATTGATGTCCTGAGGATGACGCATATCAACTTGCACAGTCATCAATGTTGGATGTATATCAAATTGAAATGCTAACATTCCATAACTGAAAATTATATAATAAACAAAAAATAATATTATATAATTAATAAATAATCATACCCGGAAATAAACTTATCCCAAGAAGGAGAAGTAGGTATTGGAATAATATCAAATTCTCGAGTATCAGTAATTATGCACCACCATATCAAAAGTGCTGTTAATAAAACCGTTGTACAAGAAAATAAGCTTATTATCCTGTAAATAATCATAATATTTAGATATTATACTTTAATTTTATAACATATAATTTTGATAGAATTTGAGAAAAAATTACTTCATATCACGTGGACTGCCAAGCCACATAATTGGACATAAAAGAATACCTACGATTAAAAGCCAATAACAGAAAGATAAATTAAATTGTTGTCCCGAAATTTTCAATCCAAAAATTTGTAAATTCTGTGAAGCTAAAATTTACATATATTAAACATAAACAAAATTTTATATAAAAATCACTTATTAAAATTTATTTAAACTTACCAACCAATAAGTTAGGTATACTGCACCCAAAAACTGTAAGATCTAAGATTATAGTGATTAAACTTCTCGCCCGAGAACCCAAAGTCAATTCAGTTACAGCTGCAAGAGGATTTCTACAAAATTAATTCAAATTAATATTACTAATAATAATAGATATAAAAAAACTAAAATGAAAAATTCAATTTTACCGATTTTTTCTTAAAATTTGTGGATCTATTGTAGTTGCAATAATCCATGATTTACCAAGAAGAATAGCCGTATAAATTTGCAAAGCCAATACAATAAAGACCAAAGGAATCCCATATAATCCTAAAATATAGTTTTCTTATTTTTTTTATTATTTATTATCAAATAAATATAATTAAATATATATATATATATATAAAATTTTAATAAAAAAAATTTAGCATATAATAAATACATAATCATAATAATTTATGACACATATAATAATTATTGATAGCTGAAAATAAATTGAATAATAAAAGAATATTTATAAAAAGTTAACCAACTTTATTTTTCTTTAAAATTATTAACTTTTTTACATGATGCTTTATGCTCTAAATTTTCTCATATAATCCATAATATAAGTTATATGACCAATATGACCATAATAGTAAATATAATAAATCAATTATATAAATTGTTTCAATTTAAATAAATTTTATAAGAAAAAAAATCTTAATTATATGATAATTACAATCTATTTATATAAGGTGTAGTAAATAAAACAAAGGTGAATTCAAGACACAAAAATAAGTTGCAAATAAAATAAAATTTTTTCATTGAAGTCATAATAATTTGTGATTAGACATGTACAAATTTTCTAAAAATATGATTTTAAATAAAATGATTTTGTTTTATATTTTTAATTTTCTTTTGTATATAGAATAAATTTTTGATAATTTTCTATTTATATTCATTAAAAAAATTAATTGAATTTATGTGTACAAGTTTCTTCTCATTATATTATTATTATTCAATAAGACTTCAAGTGAAAAAAATTTATATTATTTTTTTTTCTTATTTATTACTTTTGTTCTAAATTCATTTCTTTGTATCTTTCATAACAAAACTTTCTGTGTGTGCACATATATACATATATATAAATATATATATAATATTAATTAATTATATTAATATTAATAAATTAATTAATATTAATATTATCACACATTATAGAATAATCGTCTATGTATATATTATAAAAGAAACGAGTCACTTAATGCTAAAACATTAACTTAATAAAAAAGAAATTATTTACACAAACATCAACATTATGAAAAAAAAAGATCATTTTTTTCATTGAACATTTATAATTTTTTTTCAATAGTTAGATTATGAAATGCGAAAAGAAAACAAAAAATAAAGTAATACGAAAAAAGATAAAAATAATAGACTTACCGCATTGCATAATTGAACGCGGTAATGCAATAATTGGAAAAATGCCGAAAATATCGATAACGCATAATGTGGCAAATAGAAGTGATAAATCCGAGTTTACATCTTTGAAAAGTAGTGGAAGTCTCTCGCGATTCATGACAGAAAATATTTCGTACTGTCCGACATCGATGTATGCAGAATGTGAACCGGTTTTCTGTTTTGTGGTGGCAAATACTCTAGGTAACATGATACTTTATCGAGCGCATATGGCTTAGATACAGCAATAGCGACGAAGGAAGACCTTCAACATATTAACATTTCTTCCTTCAAAGCTACATAACAAGAAATATAATATGAAGTGACAAGATCTATGTTGAACATAAAATTCAAATATAAATAATATGCTCGATATGATATATGCATTTTGTAATATAAAAAATACCTTTTAAATGGCATTGATAAATTTATCGTATATTGATTTATATACGCAACTTATATATTGTACCAACGCTTGTTAATCTTATCATGTGAATCCGCTTGATGATTTCTTCATTATTTAAACAATATATTGCTTTTTTCGAATATCATTATTCCATACTCATTTTAGCCAAATTTGATTCGAAGTCATTTCTTCTTTAAAAAGAAACAAAAATATTTTCCGACCTAATTAAGATATTTACTCGAGAATTAAGAAAATCATACATAAATTTATATAATATAAAATTAGAAAATTGAGGATTAAAAAGTGACAATTTTTCATATTTATATCTAATCCATAGTAAATATTCAATAATAAAAAATTATATAAATAAATATAATACTTTTTAATCATCTGTTTCGTAAGCTGGAGATGCAGGGGAATACGTGGGGCTCGTTGGTGAATAACCCGGTACTGGTGGGGAATACGTTGGACTCGTCGGCGAATAACTTGGACTAGTCGGTGTATATGTTGGACTGGTAGGTGAATATTTGGTACTCGACGGTGAATATTGAGGACTTGTAGGCGAATATGTTGGACTAGTTGGGGAATAATTTGGACTACTAGGTGAATATCTTGTACTTCCTGATGCTGTGTGTTGTGGTGAACTAGGTGAATATGATGGACTCGTTGGTGAATATGTTGGACTTGTTGGAGAATATGTTGGACTCGCTGGTGTATATTGTGGCGAAGTTCCAGCAAATGATGGAGATGTAGGAGAATACGATGGACTCGTTGGAGAATATTTTGGACTACTTGGTGAATAACTTGGACTAGCTGGTGAATATTGAGGAGAACTTGGTGAATAACTTGGACTTGTTGGAGAATAAGATGGTGAAGCAGGTGTATAATTTGGTGAACTCGGTGAATAACTTGGACTGGTTGGTGAATAACTTGGACTTGTTGGTGAATAACTCGGTGACGTTGGTGAATATGATGGACTTGTTGGCGAATAACTTGGACTTGTTGGTGAATAACTTGGACTTGTAGGAGAATAACTTGGACTTGTTGGCGAATAGCTTGGACTTGTTGGCGAATAACTCGGGCTTGTTGGTGAGTAACTTGGACTAGTTGGTGAATAACTCGGACTTGTTGGTGAATAACTTGGTGATGTTGGTGAGTAACTTGGACTTGTTGGTGAATAACTTGGTGATGTTGGCGAATAACTTGGACTCGTTGGTGAATAACTTGGACTTGTTGGTGAATAATTTGGACTGGTAGGTGAATAAGTGGGACTTGTAGGTGAATAGTTTGGACTTGATGGTGTTATACTAGGCGATGTTGGCAAATAGGCTGGAGATGTAGGTGAATAACTTGGTGAGGCGCCACCTGCTGGTGACATTGGATATGGACTCATGCTAGGTCCTGGACTTCCTGGACTTCCAGGTTGTGGAGAATATGCAGAATATGCAGGAGAAAGTCCTGAAGCATCTGATGCTCCTGATGGCGAGAAACATGCTCCTCCTGGTGTCATACCACTTCCCAATGCTATAAAAAAAAAATAAGAATCATTTAATATGAAATTTAATACATATTTCTATATTAGAATGATGTAGCTATAAAAAATATACATACCAGGTGACATACTTGAAGCTCCATAACCAGGTGTGGCACCCATCCAAGGTGTCATTTGAGGACTCATACTTGGTGTAGCAACACTACCAAAGAACATTCCAGCAGTTCCCATCACACCAGCACCTACTGCCATTGGTATTTCAATACCGACCTTACATTTCTCGGCATCCAATAGCAAATCGAAACATCCTAAAAAAATAAAATCAAATATATATATTAGTGTAATAATTTTAAATTTATTTATAATAATAATAATAATAATAATAATAATTAAAATTAGCAATACCTGTTCCTATACGTGGAAGTTGCCCCATGATAATATTTTCTGATACTCCTCTCATTGGATCTACCTCCGCATGAGATGCGGCATCCAATAGAACATCTACTGTTTCTTCGAAGGAACATCTGAGAAATAAAATATAAATTATAAAAATTATATAAAACGATTTTATAATTAATTTTTTAATAATTTACCTCATAAGAGCACCAGTATCTTGTCTATTAATTCCATGACGAGTTATAGCCATTAAATGTCCTTTAGCAGTCATTACGTCACAAAGCAAAGCAAGGTGACGATAGTTTACGTAAAGACCGTAAAATTGCAACACAGCATTCATTTCTTTTTCTACCGATTTTCTCACAGCCTCTATACCTAATACTTGAAATATCTCACAAATATCATTGCTAAATGTTCTAACTGGATCAACATCTCTTTCGCTCAATACTTTCATCAAACTTGTACCATCCGTTTCTAATAACCATTCTGCTATTGCTTTAAATTCACCAGTTTCTGTGATAACTATACGTTTCTTAGCATCAGTTTGAGGTAAATGCATGTACACTTTTCCAATTGCTTCAATACCCTATATATAAAAAAATAATTATAATTATAAATTAAGTTAAAAATTATAAATTATTGAAATTATAAAGATTATTATGAACACACTTGTAATGTCATGTCACTAAGCATATTTGCTTCAATACATCGAAGAAACATATCATCCTCCATTTTATCAACAGTTTCTTCCTCGCTATCTTGAAATTTGTTATCATCGCTATTCATTATTCTAATTCGAAGAACTAATTTTTCGGCATTATCGTCATTAAATATACAGTTTAAATCGTCACCGAAGCCGGCATTAATCTTTTCCGCAATTTGTTCCATAGTTAATTTCTTATCGGTCATCCTTTTGCGATCTAATTCAATTCGAAGTAACCATGGTGATATTTTATTTGGATCAAAATCAGGCATTTCATAGTAAACGTTTACGAATTCTTGATCTTCTGCGATTACGGTATTTTGTGGATCTGGATCATAATAAATCGCAGTGTTTGCTGTAACTTTTCTTAATGTGGTATGTTCTAATCGGCAAAGTACATTTTTTGCTTTTTCAGCATCTCTTGCTGCAGCTCCCGTCAAAAATACAGTCAAGGAGGGAGCTTTTGGTTTCTTACTGATATTTATAATTTCTTTTAATCTTGGCACACCGAGAGTTACATTTTTCGATGATACACCAGCAAAATGAAAAGTATTAAGTGTCATTTGAGTTGCAGGTTCACCAAGTGATTGTGCGGCTAAAGCACCTACCATTTCTCCAGGTGATACCTAAGTAAAATAAAAAAATTGAGTTTAAACATAGAATTTAATTTTTAAGTCTATTTTCATATAGATATATAATTATAATTATATATGTATAATTTATTTTATTATATATTATTATGTATATAAATATTTATGGATATGATATTCATGATATTCAATCAATATGATGCTCAAATATTTAAAAGTTTATTATATCAGATTAAAGATTAAAGATTCAGAATTATCATGTATTAGCCTTGTCATAATAGTTGTCAAACTATATCTATAACTGATGACAACAATTAGATATTAAAATTATTTAAACTGATATCAAATCTCAAAAATTTTAATTAACATATAAATGAATATATTTAATGAAAAGAATTGAATCTAATAATCATATTATATTTATTAATATTTAATATAAGAAAAAGAAATCAAAAATAATGAAAATATTACATTAGTATATATAAAGTAATAACATTTGAATTGTAAATATTTAATTCTATCCAAGATATATAGATTTATAAAATTTTTAAAGAATAAATATAATTTATGATTTAATTTTTTTAATATTTTTTTATATACTCAAAAAAATCATGCAATGCCATGATATTTCATTATTAGAAATCGATATTGTTTATGAAAAATATAATTGATTTATCATTATTTATATATGTAATTTATTTTCTACAAACCTGTGCTTGTTGGAATCTAGTTTCAATTTCTCCAATAAGCCATTCAAAAGCTTCACTGGATAATCTAAATTCTTCAGAAACACATTTTGTACATAAAGTAGATCTTACTAAACATTGGAATAATAATGTGGCATTTTCATTAGCTTGTTTGCTAAGTCTATCATCACCAGCTACAATAATACATTTATCTAAAAGATCTTTCACACCTAGAATAAAAAAATTTTAATTTTAAAGTAATTATAAAATTATTTATAATTATATAGAATGTAACATAATCATGATAAAATTATCAAATTATTTACCTTGTATGACTTTCATAGGACTAAGATCGGTAGGTGCACGCTTATTTATATGAAAAATCTTTTGTACATTCCAAATCATTCTTTGCAAATTACAAGGCAATACTACTTTCGATTCTCCGCTAGGGAAAATCTCTCGAAGTACAGCACGATCCTTATTTAATTGTTCCCATTCTCTTTCTAATTCAGATATTACTTCACCAGATCCCATCATTTCTCTAACGATATCTTCATTGAAAATACGACGAAGATATCTTTCATTAGTTGGATCAAATTTGAATTTTTTTTCAAATGCTTTGTTACTCAATTTAATAGTAGGTAGATTCTGAAATTCCACAGTTTCACCGCATAAACCGTCTTCACCATAACGTAATTGAATAAGTTGTCCCACAGAATTTCTAACTGTTCCATCGTAATGCACCATTACAGATTCCATAGCTTTTATTAAACGACGTTGAATATAACCAGTTTCTGCAGTTTTTACAGCAGTATCGATAAGACCTTCACGACCACCCATAGCATGAAAATAAAATTCAGATGGAGTCAAACCAGCAAGATATGAATTTTCGACGAATCCTCTGGATTCAGGACCATAATCATCCTTGATAAAATGTGGCAATGTTCGTTTACGAAAACCAAATGGAATACG